CAGGAAGGTTAAGACAAACAGTGGACTTCTGCTAAATATACTCTCACCTTCCTTTTATGCAAAGACAACTTTTAGCATAAGCAATAGAAATAAGGAATACAAGGTTTGAATTCAAATATTAATACAGCTTTCATTCTTTATATGAAGGGAGACAGTGGGAGCTAAAATAATAAGTCAGTAAAGTGAAGAAGTTACACTTGGCTCTGCCTACAATGAGCACTCAACACATTACTTCTTACACAAGACTGATTAATGCCAGATGCTGCCATTTATTACAGTCCAGACAGTTCTGCTCATTGTCCTAGAGCAGTGGTCGGCAAACCAGGGCTTGAGAGCCACTTCCGGCTCTTTGGCCCCTTGTGTGTGGCTCTTCCACAAAATACCACGGGTGGGTACGCACATACGGTGTAACTAAAACTTCGTGGCCCATGTGCAGAAGTCAGTTTTCGGCTTAGGCGAGTCTATTTTGAAGAAGTGGTTCTAATGCCAAGCCACACTCATGGGGTCAAAGAGCCACATGTGGCTCGCAAGCCGCAGTTTGCTGACCACTGTCCTAGAGCATGTAATATCCTGTACAGAGCAGTTTCTCAGTCTTAGCATCACTGACATTTTAGCAGTTTCTCAGTCTTGGCTGTACATTGTCTTCAGTGTTGTAGGGTATTCAGCAGTACACCTAACCTCCACTTACTGAATGTCAGTGGCATCTTCCCCACTCAGTTGCAACAACGAAGAATGTCTCCAGATGTTGCCAAATCAACCCAGGCTGAGAACTACTGGCAAAGAATATAAACAAACCAAATATAGTGAAATAAGATTAAGACTTAAATTTCCTTAGTCTTTTCAATAACATCTCAAATAGCCACATGTTCCAAATCCTCAAATGACTAAAAAGAATTCAATTCCAGTGAACAGCAACATCAAAAAACCAATTTCAAGACAACCAAGACAGCAGCATAGGTAAACATCTGAACTTGTTGCCTTGCACAACCACATCCAAAATGCAACTAAAAGACAAAACGAATACCATCCAGAACCACGAGAAGGCTGGCTGAGTGGAAATTCCACAACTAGAAGAAAAGAGAAAAGTGCATTGAGTCTTGTAGGAGGTGAGGAGGTACAGAAGTGTCAAGGTATGGAGGTGCACAAAAAAGGGTTGGAAACTGGGTACACTGCTGACTTTTTCAATCAGGAGGGAGATATAAGCTCCTGACTGCTCTGAACTCCAGTTCCCAGTGAGACTCTGGGGATCCATCCAGACTCATAGAGAGACAAACTGGACTGTCTGGCATGGGGCCAAAACTTGAGGGCAACTTTCTCTCAGAGGTGCTTGCAGCGATCATTGTTCCTGCATGGTGCCCGGGACACAGAGACCCAGGGGCCTCTTTGGGGCAGGGCTGACTGGTAGCCACTGCTATTTGTCCACCCTGGTGATTCCGAGACCCCACCCACACAATTTACAACCCCACCCAAGCTGTGTGCATTGGCTTTTACAAATGAATGGTCTGTTTTTTTGTGGGTTTTTTTTTGCCTAAAAGTAACTGCAGCTGGGTTACAGAGTCCCAGAGCTTCCAAAAAAAAGGCTCAAGGCTCCACAGCAGCTAGCATTGCTTCACAACGGGGCCTCATGTGAACACCTCCAAACCCCAAAGAGGAGGAATCTGCAGATCTCTCTGTAGCTCCTGCTGGGTGGCCTCAGGCAGTGGCTGACTTTGCATCTTCTTGGAGATCCAAGAGCCAATGTACCCAGTGGTCAGATGAGATCATCCAGATTACAACTCTTGACATCCCTAAGCGACACACTCAGGGGGCAGACTGAGCACCAAAGCCCCACTGAAGCAAGTCCTGCCCCATAAGGGTGTCTCCTGTACAGAAGTTCTCCCATTGTAGACACAGCTGGACCTCACAGACAATTGGCCTGGAGGTCAATTTCTCCCAGTGATACCAACAGCAATCAAGGCTTAACTACAACAAAACTGGGCACACAGACCACAAAAGGGTGCACCAAGAGTGTCCACCTCAGGTAATTAGGGAGGCTGAACCATTGGGCCCTATAGGACACCCAGTACACAAAGCCCCTCTTATCAATTCAGGAAAGCAGCCAAAATGCAAAGACAAAGAAACAAGTAACAAATGAAAGAAACGAAGGAAAGCAAAATGTTGGATATAGAGTTAAAAAAAACAAAAACAAAAAAAACCATGGTTAAAAGGTTACTCAAGAATCTTCTAGAAATCTCTGAGAAATTTAGTGAGACTCTCAAGGATATAAAAAAGGACCAATTAGAAATTAAGCATACGGTGACTGGAAAAAAGAATAATATAGAGAGATCCAACAGCAGACTAGAGGGATCCCAAGAATCAAGTCAAAGATTTGAAATATAAAGTAGAAAACACCCAAGCAGAAAGAAAAAAGAATCCAAAAATATGAAGATGGTGCAAGGAGCTTCTGGGACACCAAGCGTACAACATCCAAATCATGGGGGTGCCAGAAGAAGAGATAGAGCAAGACACTGAAAACCTATTTGAAGAAATAATGACAGAAAACTTCCCCCACCTGGTGAAAGAAACAGACTTACAAGTCCAGGAAGTGCAGAGAACTCAAAACAAAAGGAGTCCAAAGAGGACCACACCAAGACACATCATAATTAAAATGCCAAGGTCTAAACACAAAGAGAGAATATTAAAAGTAGCAAGAGAAAAACAGCTACCTACAAGGGAGCACCCATACGATTATCAGCTGATTTCTCAACAGAAACTATGAGGCCAGAAGGTGGTGGCAAGAAATATTCAAAGTGATGAATAGCAAGAACCTACAACCACGATTACTCTACACAGCAAAGCTATCATTCAGAACTGAAGGTCAGATAAAGAGCTTAACAGGTAAGAAAAAGTTAAAGGAATTATCACCACCAAACGAGTATTATATGAATGCTAAAGGGTATTTTTTATGAGGAAGAAGAAGAAAAAGGTAAAGATAAAAATTATGAACAACAAAGTGACAACAAATACATATCTATGAGCAAGTGAATCTAAAAATCAAGTGAATACAAAATAAGATGAACAGAATAAACTGGTGAATATAACAGAATCAGGGGCACAGAAAGGGAGTGGACTGACAATTCTTTGGGGGAAGGTGGAGTTGGGGGTGTGGGAAGAGACTGAACAAAAATTGTACACCTATGGATGAGGACAGGCAGGGTGGGAATAGGGTGGAGGGTAGCTATGGAGGGGAAAAAAGAGGAACAACTGTAATAACCTGAACAATAAAGATTTATTTTTAAAAAACACAACAATTTCAGTGTTTTGTATAACTTAAAATGTTTTCACTTCCAATCTCTTAACCTCAGATAAACTTGCCGATTTAATTTTTTGATTTAGAAAGTTTAATTTTGAAATTTTGAGTTTTAGATTTATAACTACCGTGTTTCCCCGTAAATAAGACATCCTCCGAAAATAAAACCTACTTACAGGTTTCCTTCTGAAATAGAAGGCATCCCCCGAAAATAAGGCCCCCCTAAGCTAAACATGAGAGATTTGGTCCACTGATTCTGAAAGAAATGGAGTCACAAGAAATTCACCAGGAAATTCAGGAATTGGATTGTTATGATGATGTTCTATAAGATGATGACATGATTGTCATTGAATAAATGAGTAAATTCTTGATACTGTAGGATTCAGTTTGTCTGGTTTGTGTTGACAACTACCGTACTACCATACCGTATACAGGTAATAAATTTCCTTTATTTTCATTTAACAATAAATATGTACCGTATTCTTCTTCATGGAAAAATAAGACATCCCCTGAAAATAAGATCTAGCGCATCTTTGGGAGCAAAAATTAATATAAAACACTGTCTTATTTTCGAGGAAACATGGAGTTAATAGAAATGAATCATATCTGCACTGAGGCTAGAACCTTATGTTCCTGAGGAAATCTGTTTCTGCTAGTTCAAAAGATCTACTCACTGAAAATCTCAAGTCTGCTCTAAGAGGGAAGTAAGGAGGAAAAATACCCTAGGGCCTGGTCTGCTCTAGAGCTCAGGCCCTGGACCAGCCCTGTGTTCCTGGCCTGGGCTTTTGTCACAATGTCAAGTATCTGACAGTGAGTCACTGCTGAAAGGGCTTCTCCTGAGGCATGTCTTTCTTCCTGGATACATGGGTCTTTCTTTTATTCAAAAGGTTCATCAACATTAATTTTTAAAAAGCTGCTTTTGCATTTAACTACTCATTTTGTCTTATTATGTATGGTTTTGTTGTTAAAAAAAAAAACACACATAGCTTTTTATTTCAGAGATTGTCCTAAAATAAAAGCATACCTACTAATTCATTTGATCAAAATTCTCCAAAGAATGTGAGACCCTAATTCACAAGTAGTCAGAACCTTTCTACTACTGTCTACACTTATCATTATGGAAAATGGGTGATGACTTTGCCAGTGATCACTCTTCAGCCTTACAGATGCCACTCTCTATACGATGCAAAGCCTTACAGAGAATGAGAATATGGAGACAAAGATTATTCATGTAAACTGTCTATCTTCTTTTTTAATGTCTCCTAAGAGGATAAAGCCAAATTATTAGGTTTATTCCTCCAATTTCCATGGAGACAACACTTAGTCCTGTCAGGTCTTGCATGTAAGTTTACTTGGATTTAGCTAGTTGTTAAAGTTTTTTATTTGCCTCATACTCCTTTGAATTCTTGAATAAACATGATTCATTTATCAGACTCTAATTTAGACACAGGAAAACAAATAAAGGTAAGTCTGTAAACTGCCTGTACTAAGTTAAGATACTCTTATGTACCTATAGAAAAAAGACACAGGTGCACACACAAACACACTAGTATTTCCAAAGTGTACAACATAAAAATCTTGCTACACCTCAAGTAATGCTATGTTCCAGACACAAGGAACCACAACTACTATATCCCTGAGAAGAGTAACTCCTAGAATTTACTAACAGCTGATCAGATAAAGAGATTACATGATAAAGTAATATACATACCATCAAAACTACCTTGCTCGGAAGCAACGAGAAGCAGCTGGCTGTATGTTTCCACTGAAGGTTGAAACACAAAGACTCCAGAATTGAAGCAGTCAGGCCATCCAGGGTCTGGAGCCGCTGACAATTCTTCTCTCTCAAAAAGATCATCAATATTTGCTAGGACCTGATTCAAAGATAGGGAAGGAAAGCATTACAAAAATGTTCTAAAGCTCTCTCTAAGTCATCCAACACAAAAGATACAATCTGTTGCTGGTCTTAACTGTTCAGATGACAGCTGTAAGGCAGCCTGGGCCTGCTTTTCTTCATCACCTGACACTTGTTTTAATATGAACTTTACTGTGAAGTGTTGGCAGTGTTCTGTTAATGCCTAACTGATCACAGCTACCATATACATCCTTTTAGCCATCAAAGCCCCACTCACCAGAGTATCTGCATCCATGAACACACATTTTGAATACTGTGTAAGTGACCAGCAGTGGAGCTTAGTTAAAGTAACACCCAACTCAGGCCTCTTCATTAAGGTCAGATGAGCAGAATCGCCACTGTCCAAAACATCTACCATGATGACTTCATCGAAGACTGTCTCTAAAACTTTCCTGTAAAAAAAATTTTTAAAAATTCAAAACCAGTGTTTAGCATCTTTTCAGAACAAGTAATATCTACCATAAGACTGCATTCTTATTAGTCAATCCATGCATTAGGAGGGTAAGCTATTACGTTGGCATAGCACAATCTCTTCAATATGTCCTCATTTACTTCAGGACAAATTATGTTATTTTGCATGTGCAATTAACTTCACTAAAATAACTGCTTATGGTGAGCATGAAGCACTTGTCTTAAGACACTATTATAGAAATTCATTATTTTTTATTATACCACCAAACATCAGGCAAACTGCAGCAACAGCTGTGAAAGTGACTCACACGTGGTAAGAGTGTATCTTTACAACAGCCTATGTATTTACAATATCTTATTAGAACTGATTCTTTCCGACCAGCACATATTTTTACAAATGATGCTGAGATAAGTACATATAATGTCTGCAATGAAACCTGTAACTAATAACCTTTGCTAAAGCAGTTAACAGAGGATGGCCTGAACCTATCTCAAAGCAGTGCACAGGCTCAGTTATTCAGTTGCTATTTTTTAGAATAGAATGTAACCAGCATTTGGGATGTGCTTAGCATTCCTTGCAATAAAGACTCACTTTGGTTTGTGAAGTACAACACTTCTCCATGTCCCCAATTAATTAAAGATTTTTTTTAGGAAGCAATCCAAAAGTGGTGAGAGGAGTATACTTAATAAGACACTAAACTCAACCTAAGTTAAAACATGATAAAGCCAAGTCATAACAGAGTTTATAATATCAGACATGCACAACAAAACTGATGCTGTATTACTTGTCTCCAGAGCTATCCAAGAATATGTTCTATTTTGCCCAGTAAACTTGGTCTTATTGAAAAGAAATGATCAATGGTACTATTTACCACAGTAAAGGCGTAGGTATGGAGTGGGGGGAGGTGGGGATACTAAGACTACATCTATCCCCATATATATATATATATATATATATATATATATCCATAAGAAAACTACAAATTAGGATATACACATTAGGAGATAAATTTTGTTTTTGTTAATTGATTTTTAGAGGATGAGGGAGATAGAGAAACATTGATGTGACAGAGAAAAATGAATTAGTTGCCTCAAGGTCACGTCCAGACTGGGGATCGAACTACAACCTAGGTTTGTGCCCTGACTGGGACTGGAACCTGCAACATTTTGGTGAATGGAACAACGGTCCAACCAACCGAGTCACCAGCCAGGGCTAGGAGATAAACTTTCTTGCATTTTCCTAAAGTACCCTTTAGAAACAAGGTTTTATATTGTTTTTTCTCCTTTTCAGAGATCCTTAGCATGTGCTCATATATTTTGAAAAAAGTTTTTTCAATTTCTAAAAAGGATAAAAGAATGCCAAAATAAACACAATACAGAGTAGCTAGTGCGGCCAGATATTTTTTAAGTTCGTATTAGAAAGTAGGTAGCTCATTCAGATATTTCAAAATTTAATTCCAACAAATCAAAATGAAAAACCCAAACAACAAGCAGCTGTGCCCCTTGGGCTGCTCTCCTAGCACAACCCCAAATTCAGAAAGTCCTATGGCAACCATACCAAATTATTAATCTGTAAATAAAGATCTTTAGGTTACAAAAGTCAATGGCAGTGAAGAAAACTGCTTTTTTCTTTGAAAGTCACCTGAGGTTTCCCTGGTTTGAAACAGGAAAGGAGTCCATGTGAAGTGTGACTACAGGAAGAGAATGCCTGTACGAAACCTACACCAGGAGAACTTGTTAAGAGAGAATCAATCTACTCCTCGCATCACAGAAGGGAGCTTGGCTGGAACATCTCCCGAAAACTTGACAGAGGTTTCATCCTGAAATCCTTCACTCATCAACTTGAATCTTTTCCCCCAGGTGCTCAACCCCTGTAAAGGGTATGGCCTCAGTGCCCACCGATGCCAGCCCTGGGAGATGGGCGCCAAAGCACCACACAGACACAGGCAGCGCAGTCCTCACCTCATGGAGTCCGAGACCTGTGGAGTGGCAAGCACCGCCAGCCTCCTGGTGGTCCTGTGCTGTTTCAGAGACAAGGCCAGCACCAGGGCTCCTTTGGAGTAGGAATCATTTGTGGTCAGTGTAACAAAGGCCTGATCTTAATACAAAGAGGGGGGAAAAACACTCATTACAATCTCCTACTTCTAAAGAGCCACCCCAGGACCCATCTCAACCAATAATTTGGTAAAAACCAGTTCCTCTCTCAATCTGTCCTAATTTAGAATCCAAACAAGCTAAATTCTCAGACTAGCTTAACACTCAGAGGCAATGAACAGATGGTGATGAAGCTATTCAGAAGTGTGATTTCTGTTTCTCCTGGAAGGTACCATAGACAGTATTTTCAGCCAACCATAAATCCAACTAACAACTCCAATTGAGAGCTGAGAGCATTTGAAAGCAGAGGCCATATTCTTCATCCTGGTACTTCCATTTTTGCCAGGCCCTGGGCTTTTTATAGTTTTCTCAACCTGCAGCAGAGGCCTCCCACCACCCTCAAGAGTCACTTTGAGTGTCTGTTCGAATGTCAGCTCCTCAAAGAGGCTTTGCCTCCTAAATGCTTCTATCTAAACAGGGACCAATGGCTGTTTAATTGACTTAAGAATCACTTCACAAGCTCATGCAGGTGCTTTGTTTTCCTTGGAGAAACAAGCAGTACCCCTTACCCTGCACTCTGCTCCCCAACATATTCATTCTTGTTTTCTCTCTCTCTCTCTCTCTCTCTCTCTCTGTCTCTCTCTCTCTCTCGCTCTCGCTCTCGCTCTCTCTCTCTCGCGCGCGCGCACACACACACACACACACACACACACACACACACACACACCTGTCCCCAATAATCATCTAATTGCAGGGATCAAAGGCAAACAGAAGGATTATTCTTCCTGCTCAACAAACCCCACCCTGCCAAGACCACCAGCATGCTTTAGGATTTCCCGTTGTTCCTGCAGTAATTCTGGGACATACCGTTTCTGAGGGGGTTTCAACTGCAGTAAGTTGGTGGGCACCCAAGTGTACAGGATACTTAGGATCAAGCTCTGATAGGGGTCATTTGGGGTCACTGTTGCCCCACTATTGCCCCAGGGAGCTGGGACATTTTGTCACAAAGCCACTCTGTCTTAGGTTTCCTCATTCTCCCTTTGCCCATTTTCCAATGTGGAGGCAGAAGGCAATGTTAATTCCACTGAGGGGTGAGAGGAAAGTGCATCCCCAGCCTCTGACCTGAGGGCCATCTTCACACTTAGTGTCGGCTCTCTTCCAGGCAACCCCACTATTCAGTTCTAGAATGACTGGTGTTCCCCATCCCTGGAGGGTCCCAGCCAATGACACCTGTCCCTTGTCATGCCCATCACCCTCTACTTGTTCGTCCAACCCATCCATCATAATAAGGCAACATTTCAGCCAGCCCCAGAGGTATTTATGGGGCACAATGAGAGGTTTTCACTCAAAAGCGGTGCACATTCCAGGGGACCAGGAAGAAAAGTTTAATAACGGAAAGTAGGATCCAAAGGCTTCAGGAAACAAGGTGTGGATGGTTTCCAGGATGGAGCACGGGGCAGGACAAACGCGTAGGAACGTGGACTCGCCAGCAGCACTCGCAAACATTACCAAGGGACGGTAGAGGCCAAAGACGGTGGTGGGAGCTGCACCTGCCACAGACGCGTCGCACCTGCAGGCTTTCCGCAGGCCACTGTTCTCAGTGACATCCCCGCATTAGCCTCCACACGGAGGACCAGCGCCCCCGCCCCGGGACAGGAGAGCGGCTACAAGTGGGCCGGCGCCCCACCCCCGCCGCTGCTCGGCTCCGGCCTCCCCAGACTCGGCCCCGAAGGCCTAAAAATAGGCGCGGCGTGACCGCCAGCGCCGGGGCGGAGGCCCAGCAGCCGGGCCTGGCCGCCGGCGTCGGGCCTCGCAGACGCCGCTCCGGAGGCTCCGGCCCGCGGGCGGCGGGAAGGACGGAGGAGACGGGACCCCGCGGGACTAGACTCCGCCGGGGGCCCCACCTCCGCGCCCCCGGGTGGCGGGGCGGCCGCTGGGGCTGGAAGCGCCGTGCCAGGCGGCCGCCAGTGGCAACTTAGCGGCGGTCCCGCGGCCGGGCACTCCGGACGGGGCTGCGGGAGGCGGGCGTGGGCGGCGCGGAGCGTACCTGCCATGGTGCTGCCGGGGCGCGGGCCGCCGCCGCCGCAGGTCGGGGGCCGTAAGAACCAGGCGGGCGGAGCGGCTGCGAGGAGGCGCGGCGGCAGCGGCAGCCCGAGCGCTCTTATAGCTGCGGTCACGTGGCCGCGCACGCCCCGCCCCCAGACCGCGCCCGCTCTGCGGCCCGGGGCGGGGCGCGGCCTGCGGGGCGGGGCCGGCCCGCACTCCGCCTCTGCGCCGGGCTCCGGGCCCGCTCCTCGGTCCTGGCCCCGCCCGCCTCGGTGACACCCTGGTGCCCCGGGCAGTCGGGGGTTCGGATGGAGACTTTCGGGCGGAGGGTGGCATTAGCAGGGCAAACTGTCCAAGAAGTCAAGGGTTAGGAAACCTTAAAAATCAAAGGAGCAAATAACAAGATCACTGTAGTTATAGTAATTCATCTGAATTACACATAAATTTTAATTCCACTGACCAAATTAGCCCCGAAAGCATTTCCTCCTGTTCTCACGATGGTTTTGTGGCTTTGACAATACAAAACAAAACAAAAAAAAATGAATTTTAAGAATATTATTTAGATTCTTGGGGCTCTCTACATCAGTGAGATATTTAAGTGTTTCATTCAATCCTCATAGAAACTCACTGAAGTGGGTGTTATGGTCTTATTTTCAAAGATTAGGAAACAGGCACAGAAAAATAAAATTAGTTATCTATGGTCAACTCAGGTAAGTGGAAAAGGTAGAATTTGAACGGTGGCAGTTTGGTTTACAGAATTGACCCTCCCACTGGCAAGGCTGTGACACCTCTGGTACACTGGTACCCTAAAAAGGTTAGTAAAATGATAGTAACTGTGGTTGGATAATTACTTGTTTTGGTTAATCTGTTTCACAAATAATGGAAGGTTGAATCAGTCTTTTTTTAGGAAGTTGAGAAATAGCTCTCTAATGTGGTCACATCCTTCTCTTTTCATGCCTTCCACACAGTCCAAATGCACCAGGAAAGCAGAAAGTAGTACAATCCTCTGCAAACAATAGTTGCTTAGTAAATGTTGAATGGAACCAAACAGGAAGTCAACAACATCAGTTAAGAATATGAAATAGATGTCCTGGCTGGTTTGCTTCGGTGGATAGGGCCTCCACCTGCGGACTGAAGGGTCCTGGATTCTATTCCAGTCAGGGGCACATGCCCAAGTTGTAGGCTCAATCTCTCCTTTCCTTCCTCTCTGAAATCAATAAAGAACATGAAATAAATGTTTAAGAATAAATGATGTATTTGCAAATGTGGTAATTGCTATTCTCAAACCAATTATATCACTTTTTCCTACATCAGAATTGCTTGGGGCAATTTATAAAATGCAAATAATTTGGTCCTCAGCTCAGACCTCCTGAATCAGAATCTTAAGGATGGAAATCAAGAACTATTTAGCATTTTAAATATCACTCTTCAGGAGACTTTCTTGTTCCTTTCTTCCCTTTCCTCCCAAACTCACAATAGCATGGAGACCACTGGTTTACTTGGAAAGACCTCCTGGTTACTTGGATTATAAACCACCTTTGCAGGAAGTGGGAATGTGGGGGCAAAGGTGCAATGGATGGGTTTCCACTTATTCAACCCTGTAGGCTTAGGAGAGTTATAGCTCTTTAAGGAACATAAGGGCTATACTTGAATGGTATCTACCTGGAGAGAAGGAAGGTGTCTCTGGGTCTGGTCTGAATTGCTCCTTTCCATACAGATAGGTGGACCTGGAAGAGTAAGGTTCCCATATTTTACCCAGGAACCTTCTTGCCATCAGTGACCCTTAATCACCTGCTGTTTGAAGCCTCAGGGTCTAGGCTGGACTAACTCAGGGTGTGGTGCTGGAGCCTAAAGGGCAAAGCTAAAAGGTAAGGACAACTAGAGCAGCAGAAGCTTCCCTTAGAAACAAGAGGTCCTCTGTTTTCCACTCCCAGGGTTTAAGTAAAAGTTGTCGACATAACCTCTTTTCTCATTTCACGCATATTTACAGAAACACTTTGAATCAATTAGGAACATTTTAACGTTGCTACAGTCTACTCTTTGTGTCTTTTGTTTTTACTTTCAGGACATTTGAGTATGTTTATAATACTTCTAGCTAAAGAGGCTGACTGTTAAATAGGTTGAACTATCACAAATAACATTTGAAATGCCATCCCAAATTAAAGTCCAATGATTCTGTAATATGCTTAATAATTGAACAGAAGATCTGCATTATTTTCCAAGAAATCATGTCAGAGAACATGAATTAACTGTAGGAACTGATTTGTAAATAGTGGTCTTATTGGAGCACATGAATCAGCAATATTTACATACATGATGCTAACTTTTTATAATACCTTCATCTTCCCTTAACCCATAACTAGGCCCCCCCCCCAAAAAAAAAAAGTCTTATGGATGACTGGGAACCAAAGAAAGATGAAAACTTGCAGTTTAATGCCTCCTAACAGAAAATAACTTCAAATAATTTTAAAGCATATTGTTCAGAAGTCTTTACTAGGAGGAAATAATTGAAACTATAGGCTGTGCAGTACTATATTCTTTTAAAAAATCCTCACCCAAGGATATGCTTATTAATTTTTAGAGAGAGGGGGGGAGGGGGAGAGAGAGAGAGAGAGAGAGAGAGAGAGAAAGAGAGAGAGAGAGAAAGAGAGAGAGAGAGAGAGAGAGAGAGACATTTATATGAGAGAGAACATGGATTGTTTGCCTCCCAACCTTAACTGACAATCAAAACTTTCAACCTTTTGGTATATGGAATAATGCGCCAGCCAACTGAACCGCACCAGCCAGGGCTATAGTACTGTATTCTTATTGGGATACCTGCATTATTGACATGAGGGCTGCTTTATAACAAAACATTTTATTGTTTTCACTAGGACTTTTTTTTTTCTTTTTCTTTTTTTTTATAAAATCTATATTCAACAATGAATTTTAACAATAACACCAGTAGAGCAGATTTATATCTATTAAGTAAATGCAAAAAAGAATCAGTGTACTAATGAAAATATATTACAAAAGATTCATATTGAAACTAAAATGTTTGAGTTTCAGAAATAGAAATGAGAATATTCTGCTCTAAATTAGAAAAATTGTCTTCATATCAGAGTTCCAAGTAGTAATTATTCATTATTTACCAATTGCCAAAATCTGAATATTCTCCTGTATTTCTCCCATTATCATTTTTTATTCATCATCTTCATTCCATATTCCCTGGCTGAGTGAATCACACACCATCCATTCACTTGCTTTATTGACATACCTAGAAATCATCCTTACATATTGTGTTAGTTGACATTACCAATAACGACCCACTGCCCAGTTTTCTTGAGGTTGCTCTGCACTGAGCTTCAGTTAGGTATGAGAACAAGGCCTCTGAATGTTTAATGTGCTCACACGTTGCCTGGGATATCTTGTTAAAATGCAGATTTTTGGGGTGGATTTCTCAGGCTGTAGACCAACTTTGAATATTGAGGTGTTCAAACAAATTGGATTTTAAGGCTTCTAAGATAGTGGATAGACATACTTGTTGTAGTGAGACAAATGTTTGAGACTGTAATTTTTAAATTCTCCCCCCCCCATTAAATTTAAACTATCAGAATTTCTGAACCCTGAAAGAAAGATTTACATTAAAAACAATATTCTACATGAGGATCCATAACTCTTAGCATTTAAACCTGTGCTAAAAGGGTATATGCAGCATGCTTGGTCCAAAATTAAATTTTAATTGGCTTTGGACTGCATTATGTAACTTTTTGGCAGCATAGTTACCTCCTAATTATGTTTTAAGATAATGCCATAATCAGTTTGCATTCCCTTGAGCACACACACTAAATCTGTGGTCGGCAAACTGTGGCTCGCAAGCCACATGCGGCTCTTTGGCCCCTTGAGTGTGTGGCTCTTCCACAAAATACCATGGCCTGGGTGAGTCTATTTTGAAGAAGTGGTGTTAGAAGCAGTTTAAGTGTAAAAAATTTGGCTCTCAAAAGAAATTTCAATCGTTGTACTCTTGATATTTGGCTTTGTTGACTAATGAGTTTGCCGACCAGTGCACTAAATGATGGTAGGAACAACTGACCTGGAAATATATTCCGGTACAGAGAGCAATCTGCTGATCTAAGATGCAAATAGTTCCCATGGACAGTTCATGAAACAGATAAATCACAGTTGGCCAGACACAGGAACTAACTGATAAACTAATGACTTAAACTTTTACCCTTAATTGAGAACACATAAAATCTGTACACGTAATTGTCCCTAGTGATCACAACCCTGTCCAATTCTAATCAGAAGCTCTGTTTAAAGAAGTATTAACCTTGGAGGCCTAAAGTAGCTCATTCTTCAATTGAGAGCTCAAGTCACAAACTCCACAAATTGCAGGGGCCTTGTCACTAGTTACATTGCATTAAAAATATTTATGGATATACTAGGGCCCCAGTGCACAAATTCATGCACCTTGAAAGGAACTGTGGGCCATGAGGCTGCTGTGGGCACAGGGGCAGGTCATGGCCCATCATTCATGCCCCTGCCTGGCCCCTCCCCCTGCCTGGTCCCCTGTCTGCCAGAGCCCTGCTCCCACCATCTCTGTTCCCACTGGCTGATGGCACTGGCCCCACTCACACCTGGTGATGGTGCGGAGCAATTGGGGACATCACCGTTAGTGGGTGCGAGACACAGCTGCTACCTCTTTTCCACTCACGTGTCCTGGTGGTCTGCGCACATCATAGTGACCTGTTGTTCGGTTGTTCTGCCATTTGATCTATTTGCATATTATTATGTAGGATAATTATTATGTAGGGTAATTAACATACCATAAAATTCATCAATTTAAAGTTTATAATTAAACTAGAGGCCCAGTGCATGAAATTTGTGCACGGGGGGAGGAAGGGGTCCCCTCAGCCCACCCTGCACTCTCTCCAATCTGGGACCCCTCAGGGGATGTCAGACTGCCAGTTTAGGCCAGATCCTGGAAATCAGGCCGAAACTGGCAGTCAGATATCCCTCTCACAATCCT